GCTCTCCAAAAGTTTAAGATTCCAAAAATGAAGTCGAGATATTTAAAAAAAATTATACATTTAAATGAACAAAAACCTTTGGGGTATTAAATCATAAATGTATCCATAACTCTCAGGTTTACCTTGTAGTTAATTATTAAAATAATGCTTACAAGCCAGCCTCCAATGAATCAATCTTATTTGTTGGTTTATAAACATATATCATTAGCATGTAATCTCTAACATTCGAGTTACATTAACAAATATACATGTTTGTCAAAAAAATTGAATTGAAAAAGCGATTGATGTTCTCCAACTGAACCTGATACAATTAATCTAGAATATGTTGAAGGGAAGTATGTTAAGACGATAGAAGTATGTTTAATATCTAGTATCATCACTCATGGTGTTAAAGTGAATCTATTGTTTCCTCCGCCTTTCCAATTTGCAGAATAAAAAATTAGCTTGATCAAGTAGCTAATTACAATTTGATTGATTTGACTATCTCAGGTTCATGACTTTGCAAACATTGTTCAGACACTACAATATGAGCCAAAAATGAGATTTTAAAAAGTATTGAATAATCAGAAACATTTTCTTGCACTAAATTTGAAAACAAATTTTATTGATCAAAAACTATGCAAGCATTTTAAATTTTATCAGGAATTTCGAATCAACTATTTATGGTTTTGGTTGTTGAATCTGATGGATGAAAACATCACTCCAAAACATTTTTTCAACCAACTTTAGATAAAAGTTGGAGAAAAAGTTTTTGGAAACAATAGAATAGACTCTGATAACTAAGATTTCAAAAACTCTGATTGGTTTGTTTTTGGATTATACGCTGTTTTTCTGATCCATTTTTGTTATTAAGATATTTTGAGATTTTCTGTTGATTTTTTTATAGTCCAATGCAGTATTTGAACAACAAAAAGGATAGAGTAATCGAAATATCAAATATAATTATCAAACCAAATTCCATAGTCATTGTGAAGCAACGCAAAACCCCTTAAAGATCTTTCAAATAAAAAGCATCTAAAGTTATGTTAACCAATATTGTCGTTCATTTAAGTTTCCAATTTGAAATTTTCATCACTTATGTTTTCTGGAAAAAAAACAACACTTAATTAGAGTAAATCTTGTTTTTTTTTGTCTTGGTCCTTTGTTAATTTTAAGTCGAGTGTTTTTGTTAAACTCTTAGAGCCGCTGAAGCTGAAACAATAGATAATCGGCAGTTATCTAACTTCTGTTTATTTGAATAATCTCTTTAAGAACTCTTTGGAAAAATTTGTTAAAAACTTATATTTGCATAAAAGCTCTAATATGCGCTTGCTATAAGCTATTCGTAATAAAACATAAATGTCGATATTTTTAATTTAGTTTGTCATTAGAACTCTTAGAACAATATTTAATTGGCAATTGTCGAAATTTTGTATATAAGAATCATCTCTTTGAAAAACTTTTTAAAAACTTTCGCTAAAAAATATATTTTCATAAAAGCTTTCAGTTGCGCTTGGTATAAGTTATTCGAAAAAAACTAAATTGTTTCGTCATTGGAACTGAATTAGTTTGTCATTGGAACTAATTAGCCAAATTGATCCAATCTATGCTTGTTCAAAAGTGAAATCATTGTTAGGCCGACTTTTGATAAAGCGGACTGAATATCTATGCTTGTAGTGGGTAGTATAAAAATCCTAAAAATCAAAAATGTTCTCGAGAAAAAACGCTACCCCGAGCACAAATATTCCCTGACTTTCCTCAAAGGTCGGAACAAATAAATATATCGACTGTAACTGCGTTTTGAAACGTTATGGGAAACTAAGGAAGTCAGTTTGGCTGATTTGGGATCATTGATGCGCGCTTTTTAACTTTTTTCTCTTAATTGCAGAGCTGCGGCAAATTAAATCATTTCAAATTAGTTGAAGCAATTTAATTGTTCCCCAAAACTTGTTACAAAATTAGAAATACACTTTATGTTTTTACTTGCCCCTTTTGTACTTGACATTTGTGTAGTGGCTTCGCTTGTACTTGACAAACTAGAAATAACAACATGAAATCTAGTAGAAATTATAAGGAAAGTTTTTGAAGAAAAAAAGTTTTTTTTTAGTTTCTTTACGTCAGTTATCGCGGTCAAAATATTCTGTGCCTGTTGTTCAGCAACTGCCTATCTTTTTTATTGAATATATTCATAGACGTCCACAACCAATTAATTGTATGAATATTTGTTTTAGCATTAAGCCTCATTAGTGGCACAGAATGTTTTGACCGCAATAACTGAAGTAAAGAAACTAAAAGAAAACTCTTTTTTCTTCAATCAAAAAAATATCACTTTCTCATCGTCATAACTTAAAAATAGGATGACAAATTTATCAAGAATAATTAACTAGATTAACAATTATTAACAAGAAACTTTTCATGGAAAAAAAATGCGTTTAGACTTACTGTTGCGGTTAAACCCCTCCAATAATCATAAACTGATGAGTGCCGATTTTACAAAAAAAAATTCAATGAATTACAAGAATTATTCTGTTATAAAAACGACTATAAAAATTATTAAACATCTCAATCTGAAGATAAACTTTAGGTTACTTAGATTTTGATTTGTTCTTTTAGAACATACTTTGTTTTTTGAGTCGTTTTTATCTGTATTGCTGTTATAGTTCAAACTTCCTTGATCTCTAAAATGAACCGGTCAATTCGTCAATCGATGGTATCTGCTTCCCTCTCCCCTCTGTCAATTGCAGTGGTGCTGCTGGCCTCCCTTCAGATGCTCATTTTTCTCCAGTGGGGATGTGACGCCAGTCCCTACAATCTGGCCAACTACAGGTATTTTAAAACTTACTCTCCCAAATTTTACTTTTTGGAAGTTTTGGGCCCTGTGAACAAAAAAAAATTCACTCGTTATTGTTTTTTCTCGTATTTGATATGAGATAGGGAAGACGCACATATATTTTCTTCCTAGGCTTTCCCATCATCATTTTTAACTAAGAAGGGAGTTAGTTTGTTTGGTCCATTTGGGAAGAGATCGTTCGCATGGTTCCAAACTTTTTTTAGTTCATTTTGACATGAGAGGAATCATACAGGTCTTCTTATAACATAAAAAATGGCCCGCCCGGCCTAATTGACACCTTAAGTGGTTGCGATATTAATTTTTTCGCATTAACTTTTCACTCTCAGAATTTTTTAGCATTTTTTAATTAATTTGATACCAAACTTGACCCCCTGCGAGCTTCCCTTGATGAAGTCAAAAGTGCCTATAGAAAGAAAGCGGAACTTATATGCCATAATTTTTTCCAGTAACTTTTAGTGGAAACAAAAACGACCTTTGTGGATTTAAATAAGTCTTCTATATTATCTGTGTTCTAGAAATGCGGGCAAGAGGTCTTCTCTCTCCTCCCACCAGTCCTCTCTCCTTTTTCCAATCGCGGAAGACTTCCCACTTGTAAGTACAGAACTCTACCCAGCTACTATAGTTTAAATTATTCTTTAATTGTGATTTTTATGGCCCCAAAATTGCGTTCATTTTCATCAACCGATCTTCTAAGCAATATGTGCCAATGTTCTCAGGTATCTCTTCGGATCTCTTGACTATTGCAATAAGGGTGGGGGTAGTTTAATGTTTAAACATTGATTTAGTTCATTATTGCGGTTGTTATTCTTTTCTAGATACCATAGGGGGGATGGTTAGTATTTAAAGAGATCCGGTATCTCATATGATTGTCTGAGGAATTAAAAACACTTCTCAAACTAGAACACCCTCACTATAATTTTTGCAGTGGTACGACTTGCTGAACCTACCTTCCTCATCTTTTGGGGGAATAGAGAACTCCCCCGTGTTCCGATCACCGCAGCATTCACAATCTACTAGTTCAGGACTGGAATATCTTTCTCGACCGCCTCTGGAAAACAGTCAAAGAGATCCTCTTCAGGGTAAGTGAAACAGTTTTTTTGGAGGGGGAAGGCACATCAAAGTACTCATAATTCATCGTGCTTACTTGAAGTGATAATAATTAGTATGAAGTGATATTAATATTAAACAAAGGTGCCTCAGTTCAGGAGTTATCTCAGTTCTGGTGTCAGAGTTTTCTTTTTCTTTAAAAAAAGTCCTTAATATAGCTCAGAAAAACCATTTCATATATATTCAAATTTATGAAGATTTAATCATGAATTCTAGCTCAAAGCACCAAAAAATCACAAACTTTTATTGGGGCAAACCAAAAATCACAAAACTATTTTTAGGGCGAAAATCACAAAACTAATTCTTCGAGCTCGACTCTATTTGGTAAATTTTAAGTTTAATATAAGAAAAATTTAAAAAAATGAAAGTTATTACAAATTTCAGAAAAACAGAATCCAAAAAATTGAAAACAATGATTTTCAGGAAGCAGTGTGGGGCCTGCTAACAAGAGAAGTGCGGCCAGCTGCATGTGGAAATCCTCCTGTAGCAACTTCGACTCCCCCTCTAGACCTCTCAGCCACTGAGAATGTCTGAGGAGAGAAATGGAAAGGCACCCCCACCCACCAAGTCGCTACCAAAACACAATACAAACAGAAGGCCTCAAATCTCTAGAGAACTTGAAAAGTGATTTTAACTGTGAGCTTGACATGAAAAGTGGAGATCACAGTTTGGTGTTGACAAAACCGAACAGTCTTTCTTTTCGTTCAAGAAATTCAATACATGCCAATTTGTCAAATGATTAACATTTAACATTAAAAATTAGTTTGTCTGAAATGATTTTTTTTCTGCGGATTAAGTCACCGTGTTTGAATATTACGCAATCATGGGTTGAAATAGTCCTCGGGCAAAATTAACAATTTTGCAAACCTCTAGAGTTATATTAAATAATGTTGCTGTAGAATATTTGTAGTCATTTGAACTCGAGGAGCCGGGGGCTTTTTTGAGGGGGTGGGCGTGACGGCATGCTGATGTCAAAATTTTTTCTAGGCTGACCAAATTGAACTTTTGAGCTCTAAAAACTAGTAAAAAGAACTTTTTAGGGTAAAATTTTTTGCACAGCAAGCGTACGTTCGAAAAAACAGGCCAAGAAATTCGCTTTTGAGGTTAAAAGTTTTGACCAAAAATTGCCTTTTTATCACTCTTCTCCCTCAAAATTAACTATATATTGGCGCCAAGGATGTATAGGGAAAAAATTAGGATTGGTTGACCAAAATGAAAGTAGTAAAACAGTACCAAAAGAGGAACCCTTTGGGCTGTGAGGGGGTCGAATGGTCCCGATGATCACTCCCTACCAACCTGTAACTAGAAAGGTCACACAAGTTCATGTGAAATCGCACTGAAACACCGCTGATAAAGAGCTGAATGTCGACTCAGTCTTGCTAATAACTGAAAGGGGGCATTCAAAAGCGAAGTACAACATTGAAGAAAATAAAAATAGTACCAAAAAACGAAAACTCTGATTTCGGGAGTTACGAAATCAGACAACAAGCAAATTAGACGATCAGAAAGTAACTGAATTTAGACAACAATTTGAGTGCAAAATGCGCGAAAATTATTTACAGACCTAAATTAACTTTTGATTGAGTGCACACATGTTATCCAACCACAAATCAGGTTATCAATATCACAGTTGTATATTTTAAGCATTTCGAAAACGTAATAATCTTTTTTGTTTTGCTGTCTTATAACTAAATTACCATAATAGTTTTCATCAGTTTCGTGAAAGTATGCTCTTTTTGTTTTTGTGTAACTTCACTCTAAACAAAAAATTTTATTGGCCCAGTATTTATAGTCTGAATTCTCAAAAAGGTATTGTTTAAATTTTGGTTATTTTACGGTTGTTCCAGTTCGTATCTCTATATTCTAATCTGATGTCGTCTAATTTCTTAGGTCCCCTGATTTTTGTTTGTGAGTTCATAACAATTTTGCGTCAACACTGCTTTGTTTTGGACCAATTGATTATTGCTCAGTTATTAGATCAGATTTTTGCTGGAGCAATGCTCAGTAAAGTTTTTACGGCGGCGCTTGGAAAACTTTTTCGTTTACCATGCGACATCGATGAAAGTGGGCAATTTTCTTTTTCATCTTCCGCCCAGTTTTTTTTGTTTGAGCTAGTTTTCAGTAATTTGGGATAAAAAAACTGTATTTTTGGCAGTATTGAGCAACATTTTTTTTCAGTTCTGTTGTATATCATCTAAAATAAAAAAGCAATAGTTGCCTTCATGATTCCGAGAGAGATTGAAGTTGATTAGAATTATGACCGAAAAAATAAATGAAGCTAAAGTGGGAAAAGTCGGAAATCTGAAAAAAAACTTTTTTTTTTGAAAACCGCCCCACACGCTACGTTCTGCATCGTGTAACATCAGAACTAAAACTGATTTGAAAAAGTTTTCGAAAAAAAAACAGTAGAGAGCTGTGCCGGAAGAGCAGTTTGCTCAAATAATTCAAATTGAGAAGTTCAAATGGCAGAGAACATTTGTTTTATAAAATCAAACACTTTTTGTCGATTTTTTTTCTTATATCGATTTTGATTAAAATGAAAGGCAAAATAATTAGATATAGCGCCATAAAAATATGCATATAATTGTTAAATTACTTTAAAAACTGCACCGTATAACTTCATTTCATTGCGTTTTCTATATAGTTTAGTCTGAAACTCGACACCGAGATAATTTTTTTGTTTCAAAATTTAACCCTGCAAAAAGCAAACAATACATTTTGCGTCTGATGACGCTTTAACAGAAGGAAGCTCCCAAAATTCACTATGAACGAAGGACAGTTTTTGATTTATTCTCCGAGTTTAAATATCAGTTTTCAAACACTTTCTAAGCTTGAGCAAACAAACCTACTAATGTCATAAGGTTGATTGTTTCATTTGGAAACAATAACACAAAAAATACAATTATTAACACAAAGTATTTCGATTGTACGGAAAAGTGGAAACGAGACGAGCCAATTGATAGGAACTGCCTTTTATGGTTTACGGTAGAAAGCGGTAGAACATATAATATCAGTTTTTAAAAACTTTTTTTGCTTGAGGAAACCTAATAAAGTCAAAAGGTTGATTTTTTCCGACTTCACGTTGTTATATGAAGCATTTGGAAACAATATCAGAAAAAAAATTACAAAAGTTAACACAAAATTTTTCGAATGTACGGAAAAGTGGAAACGAGAAAAATAGCCAATTGATAGGAACTGCCTTTTACGCTTTATGGCAGAAAGCGGTAGAACACAAAACTATTGGTATCAAAGCGACGCTCTAAATATTCTGACTTTCTTTTAAGGTCTATGCAAGGGTGCGCAGCTTGTAAAATTTATCAAAGTTTTTATATGAAAAAAAAATCCCTTATTTTGAAAACCGCCCACACACGCTATGCAAAGTACAAAATGATTTATTTCGCATTTATTAGAGATGTTCGAAACTCACAAAATGAACATCATTGTACCCCCATAACTTAACAGAAAATTATCGCAAAAAAAAATGAATTTTTAGCTCAGGGCATCCCAAAATTTCAGAAGCAAAAAGTTCAGTCAAAAACTGCTTATTAAAAAATCAAAATTTGACTGAAGAAAAACATCAAGCACATTTTCTACCACTTTTTTCAAACGTCGGAAACGTTGCTTGCTTTTGGAAAATCTGCTCAGACCAATTTCTGCTCAAGTATCAGGCAAAACCCTGAATATTTCAACTGCCCGTTAATGTCTATGAAAAAAATTTTGATTTAAAAATTGAAAAAACATGCTATATGAAAGACAAAGTGATGTATTTAGCGTTTAGTAACCAAATAACGAGACAAAGTGCTTCAACTTGGCGTATTTTAAAACCGTAATAAGCTGACGCTCAGCGGATAGAAGCACGAAATAAATGCGCGTTAACTATTCCAAATTTCCAAAAATCACAAGAAAAAAATTACAAATGTTATATTTTTTTCAATTTTGAACTCCTCACATCAGTATTTTTTATTGGACATGAGAAATCTGCTCAAACTGGAATTAGTTAGGACGTCAAAATTTATATTAAAAAACCGAGAACACAAATTTGCCATTTTCAAAGTGTTTTGCAGATTAATTGATCCACAATATTTTGAATTGGCAATTTTCAATACCCATAATTATTCGAAAAAAAATCACAGCTAAATTATTTTTATTTGAACATGAACTCTTTATATAAGTGTTTTTCAGATGATATAAAAATTTCTTGCTTAAAACGGGCTAGTTAAGAACTCAAAATTTAAACTAAGAAATACACCAAGAACAAAAAATTATAAATTTTATTTAAAACTCGGATCTAAAATAGATAGCACGTTTGGCGCAGAGGTCAATTTTAATTTCTGGACACAACGCCAGTTATATTTTTGGATGTTGCGCGAAGTTTTAAATTTAATTGCATAGCTGTTACATAGAGGTGAAAAAACGCAAAACATAAATATTTGTCATGCACAAATCATAGCTTTTTTTATGCATGTTCAAGCCTCAAAATCTAAGGTTTTGCATGGCAGAAAGCGGTAAAAATATAACTAGAACAAAACTACTCGTTTCAGAGCGACGCTCTGAATGTTGCGACTGTCCTTTAAGGTCTACGCAAGGGTGCGCAGTTTGTAAAAACCGTCCCCCCACACGCATAGAGCAAAGAATTTAATAGACAAAAAAACATGCCTCAATTCAAATAGGGACGACTTCTAAGACGGATTAAAATTACGCGTTAATAGCACACAACATACCGCCCGTCAATTATCCAAAAATGGGCAAATTTGCTATTTTTAAACCCCCATTACTTTATCAAAAAATATCATCGTGAATTTTTTTCGAAGTTGAGCTCAAGACGAAATTTTTTTAATGATTAAAAAATTCCGTCAAAATGTCTGGTTAAAAAGTTGAAAAAGCCACCCTTAGTACAATTATCCGTCACTTTTTTTTCGAAAATTGGAACAAAAACAATGTTTATGAGTAAGAGAGTGATTTTAAAATTTCATCATTCAATTACTGAGTCTCATCGTTATCTTTAGCATGACAAATATCTGCATCGCAAAATCCCGCATATTTTGGCAACCTTTCAAATTGTAGAAAATCACAGAAAGTCTGCTTAATTTTTGATATTTAAGTGAAGCAAACAGTAATTATTTTGAAGGCTGTAAGTTCTCAAAAAATTTTAGAGTTATACTTTGATTAATTAGACAAAAATACCTGAACAGAAATAAATTACAACTTTGGGTTTCGAATGAAAACTCTGATGCACAATGGTTGATCAAATAACTCTAGCTACTTTCTAATTAAAATAGAAATCAAAACTTGTTTTTACAAAAAATGCAGAAAAAACTTATTTGTCAGAAATGCGCTCATCCTGGCCAAGTTTTCCTGGTTTTTTTTTGCCACTGACTTCTTATTTTACGCGGGAAACCTTCAGGTTTTGCCGAAATTCTACTGCAGTTCGTATCACAAAATTTCTACATTTCAACCGCAGATTTTACAATGCCTGAGCTTAAAAGGTATAGTATAGGTTCAGTTTGAAAATCAAAGCAAACTAAGTTATAAGAGTTAAAATTTATAAATCAAAAATAAAATTTGTAGTTTCAAATGATTTTTCCTGGTGACAAAAAATCTTTGAGTGTTCAGAGAGTTAAAGCTCTGAAGGGAGTCGTTCCGCTTTCACTCTAAATCTGCTACCACGGATGACTCAATTATAATTCTATTCATAATTTCCTTTTAATCATAGTATGTAAAATAACAGAAAATGTACATGCCAACACATACAGAGTGGCTTGAGTTATTGCCACACCTCGATAGCCAATCAGATCAAAGATGAATCCACCAATCACGGCGTTACCAATCCATCGGCCTCCTAAGTTGCAGATGTTCAAATTCCAGCTGGATAGCAACGCACGATAGTCGCGATTCTCGTCAGTTAGCGAATGAAGGTAAAAAATGTCGTCAAGAACCACAAATCGTGAAACGAAACTAGACGCGTTGCAAAAACCAAAACAGGCCAATGCAAAAAACGCACAGATGTGGGTGCATAATTTACTGGCGTCAAATATTGTTATATAAACCAGAGATAACGAGCCCAGTAAACCAAATACAGGGCACAGTAAAAACACAACCCATTTAACATTTCCTCGACAGATGAAACCCAAAATAGGCGCAAGTATAAGAGCTGCAATAGGCGTGATAGTGAAATAAAAGCCCAATTCTTTTTCTGAGGGGTCCAATAATTGGGTTAAAAGCGGTGAAAGGAAAACACGTGATAGACCAGTTGTCATGGCAGCGACTATGAAGGGGAAGCTGGCCAACTGAATGTCAGGAATGAGACAAATTTTTATTATGGTGAGTTTGTTTTCATTTGACGCGGAAGATGGTTTAACTGGTGTTTGATTCTTCGTATCTGGAAAATACAAAACATAGTTTAGAGAAAGAGCGTCTTCGGAAAGTCTTTAATAATTTGAACAAATCTGTGTTTGAACAAGTTTTTTGTCCGTTAAAAGCAGACCGGTGTTAATTTATTCAAAATGAGGATAAATAAACTACATTATTTGAAATTTCTGAATTAAAAAAAAATCTGGATCATTTTCATGTCGGCTCTGATAAGTTTCAATCAATTTTCAGATAGGATTTTTTTCATACATCCATATTAACGTATTACATAGTTTATTATTTGATAGATTCTCCCTTTTCTCTTATAACCTTGAAACTTATTTTTCTTACCAGATTTTACTCGAAGTTTTTCTATTTCTGATTGCGAATCCTTTTGGTACGAAAACATTACCAAAGCAGAGATAACTGCCAAAATCATGCCCAAGCCCCCGGTAACTACAAAGGGTAGATAAAACCCCACCCAACTGTAAAGAAGCGCCGCTAGAATAGGGCCGATAATATATCCAATTTCGAATAAAACTTGAATGGAAGCGCTGATGTTGCCTCTTTGATTCGGAAATAACTTGAAATTGATTGGTATTATTACTGAAAGTGTGAAAGAAACTACGATTCCCATTAAAACTAAAACTAACCCATTCAAAATTATAAACGTAACTTTTGATGCAGCAAATCCTGTCAGGCCAAAAGCGCATATTAAGACCGAGTAAAGAAGATAACTGAGACAGAATGTTGTTTTATAATTCCATACATTGATAAAATATGGTAAAACTAGTCCAGAAATTAAACCCAACAGGTCATAACTTCCGGATACGATACCAGTAGTAGTTTTGGACAGTCCTTTCTCGGAAGTTTCGGAGGGGTAAAGTAATGATTTCTGGGATAGGAAAAAAGCTGCCACGAGAACGAAAGATAATGTGCAAGCCACAGTCAAATACTTTGGGAAAATATAACAGCTTTTCTCCATTTTTTTGTTTTTAATCTAATTTTTTCACTTTTTTGATTTTTACTAAAGAACACAAAAGAAGGTATCTGACATCCAAAAACTCTTAATAGTTTGATTGATACCGCAGAATATTGAGCAAATTTGTTACATACAAGTGCTTGTTATGAACACCAACTGATTACTTGACCTGATGGCATAGCTGACATTCAGTGATGAGACAACGCACCGAACAGATTGATTTGAATTAAATATCAGCTAAATTTGATCAATATTGTCAGAGATTATCTGTAAGTCATAATCTATACGTTAAGACCGAGTTGAAAACCATTCTTCGCTTTGAACTAGTATTTGAGTTTACAATACATGTTGGTACAAAATAAAAAGAGTTATCCATTTTGATTTAGAAAAGATGCATTTGTTTTGACTTTTTTCAATATAATTATAGTATAAATTTAATTTCAACTCTCTTTCTTTTTGGAACGAACATAGGACAAAACTTTCAAGCTTAACCAGAGCAAAAAAGAAAAAAATAATATATAAATTTTTTTTAAATATAAATAGTAAAATCCTGTTGTAGCTCGGCATCGGATTAGTTATTTTCAATTCAGACCAGGTATTAGATCCCCTGCTGACTTAAATAATTTGCGTTTTGCTATTTTACGACATTCATTATCGGTCAACTAGGCCTGAAAGTTTTGTAAAATTCCACTGTACAGTAGTTTGACAGACGCTTGGCACGAGAGGCTTATCTAGGATTTTCTTGAAGGATTGTGAGATTTTTATTAATGGTTGATAAATTTGATAATTTTTATTTTTGGTTGACCAATTTGATTTTGAGAGCTCTCGTTAAATACCATTAAGATTCTTATTTAGGCAAAATTTCTGCTACACTGGCCAATATTAGAACAAACAGACCACCAAGTCTGTTTTTGGGCCCTATTTAGAAATTTTTGGCTAAATTAATAGAGTTTTTCTGAGTCGAATCCCTGAGGAGCTGAGGCGCCCCCACTTAAATCTTCCCTGCTTGTTTTGTATACGGTATGAAATTGCATGCTAATGTGAAGGTTTTGAGGATTCATGAGTGAAAGCGAGAAAAAAAAACAAAGTTTTGCAATCACATAACACCATACTTTCAAATAGTTCAAAACAAAAAAAATTTAATTTCCCATATGATGACGCTGAAGCATTCTAATCACAAGCAAAAACAATTGCTGTAGAAAATCATTTTTGACCTGTTTTTTTTTCAGGTTTGCCTACTGCGCAAAAAATTGCCAAAATATGGCCCTTATATTGATTTAAACAGGCTCGACTAATCCATTTAGTCATACAGGAAAAGGTCAACAAGATTTTAAAAAATCAAATTGTGCTTACAAAGATTGACAATTTTTTTCTGAAAATCTAGATTCGCTCATGATTTATACGGATTTTGAGGCTTTCGCAATAAATGGGTACAATAAGTTTATAAAGTTTGTAGTTGACACAAAGTTTATTGGCCATCTAACCAACCAGTCAATGATATAGTATAAATTTGAACAAGTTATACATTCGATATGTTACTGCATCTCGCGGAGAAATGGTTTAAAAATTGATACCAAACTTTAAATTTTAGTGAATTTACGCATACATTTCTCTTTCTATCAAAAATATTTCTTTCACGTAAGCCAAACAGTTATAAACATATAAAAGGCGTTTTAAATCCAGCACAACCTATAAACTAACAGAGTTCGGTCTTTCAACTTTCGTTGGACAGATCATTTTGTAGAAACTCCGGCATCTTATAATCTCCTTGTTTTGGCAAAATCGGTGCCTGGTTGTACTGCAAGCTGTTATTGTCGCTCAGTTCGAAAGGAGATTTGCCTTTTTCGTTTTGGCGCCCTTTCTTCTTATTGAAGACACAGATCAAAATTGCTATTCCAAAGAGAATGAAGGAAGCTATGAAAAGAATGAGTGAAATTGTGAGAGATGTTGTAGGTGAGAAGTTGCAGTCTGTTACCGAAAGAGAGACGGAGATGAAGTCCTTTCCACGTGGGTTCGAGGCCATACATGTCCACACTCCGGCGTCCTGTTCTGTGAGGTCTCGGATGACGAGCGAACCCGCTTCCAGAATTGAAGTCTAAATATAATGATAACTAATGCTTTTTTGTTCCGACTTTCGTACCGAAAGTAACGGAATATTTGTGCTCGTGGTGGGTTTTTTTTCTTCAGACAAATTTCGACTTATTAAATAGCCGTTTTTGACGGAACTTTTTTGTATCATTCGAAAGTTTTTGTTGTCCTGAGCTTAAATTTGAAAAATTACTTCACCTGTGCAAACTTTTTGTGAATTTATGGGGCTTAAAGATAACCATTTTGGTCAATTTGGGACAATCAACGCGCTGTTTATATCGTGATATCAACGCATAAGCGGAGATTTAATCAGTCTTAGAAATCGTTCCAAATTGGTTCAAGGAAGCTTATATGCCAAAAATTGATATGTCAGTAGGAGCAAAATCTATCACTTTCTACTTATTATGGCATGTGGGGGGATGTTTTCACAAAAAAAAATCTCAAAATTAAAAAAAATAAATAGTTAATTTTTTTACATTTAAACTTTTCATGTTTTTACTGCTCCATAGACCTTAAAAGGCAGTCGGAACATTTAGGGCTCCGTCCTGATACGAGCAGACTTATTGCTCTTCGAATGATTTTGTGTTGGCTTAAACTCATCTAATAATCTAATAAGGTCAGTAAAAACAATTTTGCGACTCACCCGAAAAAAGTTTCGTAAATACAAGCAAAATTTTTGAGCTTCTAAACTACCTGTAAGGTCGTTGGTTCCATGGTCCATTCTTGTTGGCTTATGCTTCGCGGATAAACCACCTCAACTGAATAAATTATTTTCTTAACTAGAATTTTGTATAGCTTAAAGTTTATTCATCAAGGCCGACTTTTTCTGCTGAAATGCACAGCTGGAAAACAATTCGATGGAAAAATCGCAACGCTTCGCAAAATGTTCTATTTTTTGTACACTTTTTCTAGCGATTTTTGAATAGAGCAGTTTGAATTTGAAAACAGTTTGAATTTTATCAATTCATGGATATTTCAGAATAGTCTGAATGTCTAACATAAAGTCCAGACAATTGTTGGGCTAGTTTTTGGGTGAAAAGTTGAGGCAGAGTACACGTCTTGGAAAAGTTGCCAAAATTTGAACTCTCCCACAAGTTCGAACTATTGTGACCTTTTCATGGATTGTTTTCCTCTCTTTTTCCGACTACTCGGCTCAAAAAAAGGCTAAGAAAAAAGTTTGAAGTTTGCCATTAATTCCCATTTTATCCTAACTTTACATAGATAAGAAATCGCCAAAAACGTTGACCAGGGATGATAGCTTCCATTTCTGTTCTGAGGTCATATATTTTCATTTATCTGTCCATTTTACTGGTTTTTTGCCTGGGTCGAGGTCTTAAACTTATGTTCAGACTTTCGCTACCAAAATATGGCATTTCCAGAGTTTCGCGACCGAGGCGGATACGACGCGACCAAACATTAGCGACCAATATTCAGTATGTCCAGAATTTTGCAACCGATAAGTTCCAAGGTGAAGATGGCGCGACCCCGAAATAGAAGCGGCCGGCGCAACCCGACATGACTAACCTTGGAGTTATTTTCAACTTTGTTTCCCTTGAAAGACCAACTGGTTTGAGCGAGAGGCTCAGCTGTGTTGTAGCAAGGCAAGTAGGCTTGGTGACCCTTCTGCGCTTGCACTTCAGAAGTGGTGGGCACGATTTCAGGCGCAGCACACACAAGACTGTCTTTAGACCGAAGGTCAGTTAGCCGAATGCCTCTGACGCCGACTGGGTTGAGACACATGACAGATGAGAAGCCTTTGGATTCGTCTTGTTGGCTCGCCCATTCGTAGAATCTCTCCATCGCACAATTGCATCTGAACAAAATTCAAAACCAAATTATAGTTTGAACTTGAAAATCATTAGCATAAAATCGTTTCAAACTCGTAAAAATGTTTATTCAGTATTTTCGAAGAAGCTCGAAATTTTTTCATAATTTATAATTTTTCTATTTGATTTTTTGATTTTCTACTTCAAAATAAGAATAAAGTATTAGCTTCAATTAAAGCGGAATATCATAATTAGTTTCATAATTTTTCGTAAAATCGTCAATAATCTCCAATTCAAACCTGATTTTGTTTTCGGCCAAGTTGACTCTGAAGTTATCGAGCTCATCGAACATGACAACTGTTAAATAAGAAATAGAATTATGACTGAGGTCGAGCGAAAGTGCACTATCTTCTGGTATCTCCTTGAAGGCTGAGGGGTCAATGTCCTCTATCTGGTTGAAAGAGAGATCCATGGTATCGATGCCCTTGATTGACCCCAAGCACAGTGCTGGCAGGAAGCGAATCGAGTTGTTTGACAAGTCCAATTTCCGAATCTGCACAAAAATAGGCTTTTTTTACTGGAGAAGTAACAATGCTTGCACCATAATCGTTATATTAATCAAACCAGAGGCGGATTTAGGGAGGGAAGGCGGAGGTCGGACGCTTCTCCCCCCTTCCCCTCAGGAATTCGACCCTTACTTTTTCTCCTTTTAAGGGTACTTTTTAAGAAATCATTTTTTGGCCAACGGACCCTAAAATTTTTCTAAAAGCGCATTTACTAATTTTGAGAGGGAGCGCGCCAAAAAGAGCCCAAAAAACGAAAGCTTTATCCGCCCCTGAAACAACCATACTTATATTCTTTACACATAATCCTTATGCCGGATCTTTTAACATTTTTTGGACACAACAAGACCCAAAAACAGTATCAATCTGGACATGATCATGACAGCCATATTTGGTATGATAGGGTCACTTACAGCCGTGTGGAGCTGACTATTAGCATGTGTGTCAATTAGCATATGCCCATCTGGAAAAATGCAATTGACTCGTTCAATGCTACAAAGTTTGTTTTCTCAATTTTTCTATTTTGAAGTGTCCACTTTTTTGAATATTTTATTAAATTGAACATCTGATTCAGGCTCTTTTACATTTTGCCAACCCCCTCACCCCTCCACATTTACAAAAGTTGCTATTTTTAGGATACTTTATACGCTATTTCGGCTAAATACGTGATTTTTTGCAGTTTTCACCTTGCAAGAGTTTATTAGTTTTTCAAATAGTTTTCTCCTGACTAAAGAGAACTCCTGACTGAAGAGAACGAATCTGGGAGTAAAAGTTTATAGACGAAAATGCATCTATTGTGTGAGTTTCAAAAAACTGAATAAAACAAAAAGGGGCAAATTCTTTGTCACGTGATCGTAGTACAAGGTCGGCGCTCCAGAAACATTTTTGAAAACAGTTTTTTTAAGCTCAACAAAATTGATTTTCCGAGATCTACCGAATTACTATAAAAACCCTATTTTGCCAAAAGAATACCAATTTTTTGAGCACTTTTTTGAAGGTTTTGACACTAGAGCTTATTTTAGTACATTTCAGCCCCATTGGAAAAAATTGAGCAATAGTTTACAAAAATGAACGTTTTTGTAAGTAAAACCAAAAGGAAGACCCTTTCGTTGATCAGTGGGTCGAAACCTTAGAGCTTGGGGGGTTGATACTTTAAATCCGCCTCTGCTTAAGTCATTATTCGAAATGTTATCGAAGATGATCAATCGAATCAGTCTTCGATGAAAATATTAAAAGCCTGAATGAATGACCCACCCATTTCAACGACTGCAGTGCACTTTTCGGAAAAGTCCTGATTTTGTTTCCTGCCAAAATCAAACTTTTAATCGTTCCTCCAGGTCCTACAAAGACACCGCTTCCAACTTCCTCCAAATCATTGCCACTCAAATCGATGTAATTCAAGTCTTTCATGTTCGCGAAAATTCTCGGAGGCACTCTTTTAATGTGATTCTCGCTCATGTCGAGGTGCATAAGAAACTCCAGCTTGCTGAGAGATTGAGGGAAAATTTTGATTTCGTTGTTGGCGCAATTCAGCGCCTGTAAATTCTTGACTGAGGTAAAGAAATTTTCGGGAAAGGACTCAAGTTTGTTCCAGCTCAAATCCAGTTCAACCAAATTCGGTGCACCTGTAGAGACATCAGTTTTACAGACATCATGGTTTTCCCATCTTTGGATAAAAAACAGGACGTATTGTTTTCTTTCATCTCATTTTTGAGAGGAAATATTTGCTTTGAAGTTAAAGACTTGGTAAAACTTTGTCATATAGAGTAACCATTTGCTGAGATGCTGTGCAATATTTAGGACAAAAAATTGAAAAGAAAAGAACTGAAATTAAGATTTTTTTTGGTAACAGGAGAGCATTTTGAAATTAAACAACCAGTTAAGTACTGGTAGCCTAAATAAGACAAGCTTAACATTTGTTACATTGGATTGGGAGTGTTTTTTGTAATATTTTTCTTGGAACCGCAATCATGTTTGAAAGAGTTTTATAGAAGAGACTTTATGAATGCAAAATTGCTTTCAAGTCAATTAATTTGCATGAAAAACTAACAAGCTTTCGTTTAATATTTGTCGCAACAAAAATTAACCATTAAATATTAAAAGCTTTCTATTAATATTTCAGAATAGTCGCAACAAAAAATTAACCATTAAAAAATAAACAAACAGTGGTGCCAAAAATGACGTGAATCATCTAATCGGATAAGATACGCTTCGATTGTCAATCAGCTTCATGAAAATATACTACAGTAATGATGGAAAACTTGCCTGAAAATATATTTTTACTGAGGCGTTTGATTTTGTTGTTGCTCATAACCAGTTTGAGCAACATTGGCTTGTTTGCAAACAGCTTCTCAGGGACTTCACTCAAATAGTTGTCAGATATATCCAGAGTTTGCAACATGTTGAGTCCATTGAATGTTCCTGGGTCCATTTCTTCGATGTAGTTGCGCTGGATGTTTAGCAAGTCCAGACCTTCTAGGTTTGCGAATATGGAGGAGTCTAGTTTAGTGATGTTGTTTTCGGAGATCTGCACCCGCATCAAATAGGGGAACTTGATGAAGGGGGTTCCAGAGATGATGTCAAGGGCGCACCTGGACATTGAGAAGAGGAAATGGCCACTGTTGTTTCCCAAATCTACCTCTGAAATTAACCAATTCGGAATTTAAGAACATACTTTATTTTATTTCAACAAGGCTTTTGGATATTCTATAGCAATTTTTCCAACAATTTTTTTCAAAAATTTTTAGAGATAATTAACCATTACCATGTTTATGATTACTATGATGAGCTAGGAGGCTGAATATGACATTTTTTTCCAAAATCATCAAAATTAGTTCTTAGTTTAACACTAACTTATTGGTGAAAAGTCATTTGAAGATGAGAATCGGCAAAATATACTCACTGTGAAGTGACTCGAAGTCTGTGAACAGTTTTTCGCCCTGAAACAAAGTAGTTTTTGTAGCATGTGAACCCGATCGCCATGTATGTAGCAGAGAATGTAACAATCATTTTCAATTTTTTCATTAATTTAAATTTATTTATTTTATTTTTTTTAAAGTTCTATTGCCGAAAAAAATGAAACTGGTTTTCTTAATAAACTGGTTGTTACATTCTCTGCTACATCCTCTGCTCTGCCGAAAAAACGCAAATTTTTGGCCCAAATTTTTCACAAGGTGCTCAAAAACAGCATGCATTTTTGTTGACCTGTTTTTCAAAAAATTGGCTGCCGCGCAAAATATTTTGGTCAAAAAAGGTTTCTTATTGTGTTCTGGGAGCGCTCGGAAAACAATTTGACTGACCTAGAAAAATAAGAAAAGGTCGCAAAGTTTTTTCGAATTATCTCAAAAAAGACGAAGGGGTTCAAGAGTGGTATCATATTAAAACCCTTCTAGCTGTGATTCGATTTCTTAGAAAAAGCTGAAACTATTTTTCGCAGTGGCGAGAAAAACGGGTCTATTTTTTCGGTTTTCAGACTAGTTTGGAAAATATTCGATAAACAGCTTGCCTTCCAATTTAATTCGATTTACATAAAAAATACTTCTCATTCCTGTTTATAACTTATTCAGTCAAGCTTAACTTAAAATCAGCATGAAAAAAAAATTGAAAAAACATTCAAAAATTTTCGAAATAACAATTTTCATGTTTTTTAGAATTACGTTTTTCCTTTGAATTATTTTTTGAATTATTGTGATCGGAATTTTCTGGGATGTTTGCACAGCAAAGAAATATCCTTGTTGTTCCGACCATTGAAAATGGGCAAGATTTTTGTATTCAAGTGTGTTTTTTTTTGTTCGGGTGTTTTTGTTCCACGGAAAATCAAGTACAATAAACAATGATTAGACTGGGTTGAGTTATATATAAAAGGCTTCCCTGCGTCGAGGAAAACCAGTTCAAATTTTTTGATTTTTGGTCTCGTTTCGAGCAAATAAAGTGAGCGAGCAAACTTATTTGAATTGCTTAAAAGCTTTCTACTAAGAGATTTTCTAGTAATTGCAAAATGATGAAATTGCAAAACACTTGAAAGTTTGAAAAACTTGAAAATTAGCTTTTGAATATAAATAACCTCCTTTTTTTGCTCAGCTAATTTTATCACACCACGCCGAAAAAAAGACAAAATTCGGTAAAAAAAACTTTGTATTTTTAAAGACTATCGTCGGAACAATTTGTCCTACTTGCACAGTAACCGGCTATCCTTGTTTCACATTTGTGAACTAAAAGCGGTATTATCGCAGCCGGATATTATTTCTGGTGGTAGATTGTATTTTCTAGAAAAAGAGGAGCTCAATTTACTGTACTTTGCAGTAATCATTGAAGTCAAAAATAACTCTATTTACTGCTTTAACTGTAAGTTATCGTTACTGAGATTCTTTCAACTGTATGTATGGTACTTCACGCTAAACACTGTTTCGAAATGTGGTTATACAGTATTCAGTTTTGGCTATGAGACTGCGCTGCTGATATATCAGGGTAAAATTCTGAATATTCTGACATACTTTTTAGGTCTGTGGAATAAGTAATCTTTTCTGGGAACTTCGAAAATTGATAAAACTTTGAAACAAAAAAAAGAGGAAACTTTTTTGAAAATTATCCCTTCGTATGTAGAACAAAAAATATCAAGTGTTGGTTCTGAAATCGGCCAAATACCATTCTCAAATCACCATAGAATATTATTGAGCTGAAATGTTCAAGATCAAGACATAAATAACGTAGTTATCATTAATTAAAATATGACTTTTAAAAAAATCAATTTTTGTCTTGAGAGAAAAAAATTACTATACCTGTAAAAACTACTAAACACATTTTGTAACGTTCGGAACTAGAACAACCTGTTTTTCAAAGTAAAAGATATAGGCGATTTTATTGAATGAGATACTATTTCGTCAAAAAAATAGTTTGTTTAGTTTTTGGGCTATCATGATTACACTATGAACTAATTTCGCAACGGAAGTCAAAAGTAAGTTAATTGAAAAAAGTGGCAAGCTTTTTTGTTGAAGTCATAGATAGCTTCAATCAATCACCAATGAAGAAAAAATTGGCGCCATCCTAACAGAAAAAACGGCTCAACGGTGTCAATTGATTTTTTCTTACTCTACAACAATAAGTTTTGACAAATTTTGATAAATTCGAGCTTTAGACAACACTAAAAAACCAGTTAGGTTGAGCTGTGAAGGCAATCGATTGATAGCAGCTAGCATTTAATCAATCACTCCATTTCTGTAAAAATTGTTTGATGTGGGCTCACAAAGGAACCCGGTCTACAGACTGTTTTCTTACAAAAAACCAACCAATTGGCATATTTGTCGATAAACAAGCCCGTGTAAAATGTTTGAAGATGATTTTATTGATTTTGCAAATTGGCTTGCTCAAATTTGCAACTTTGCTTTGCAAAATAAACCGAGTGCTTTTGGCAAAAAACTTGAAAAATTTTTTTTTGCAAGATGTTAAATTCCACTTAACCAGCGTAACTGAGCGAAAAAATGACAGTTGGTTAACAGAAAATAAACTCACGGGGAAAAATGATGCAAAACACGATGCGTCATTGTTTATTTGCCCAATAGTTTTTTTAAAAGAAAACCGACTTTTCATACTTGCTTTTTTCAGGGACCAACTATCGTACTTGCGCTCAGTTTAAGCAAAGCGCAAGAAATCTGGTAACTGCGCATTCGCTCACTTGCCTAATTGAAATTTTTTAAAAGTACAACTAACATTTTTTTCAAATTGTTTACTTGTGCTTAGTTGGTTTCATTTTTTGGGCCCTTAAAAAATCGAAGTAGAAAACATGTGTAAAACGTTCGCTGCCCTTTAGAACTTGTAGCTAACACAACAAAAAAAAACGAAAACATTTTGACCCTCTCACCAACCAAAGGAGACCATTTGCTATTAATCTATGAGATCCATTTTAGGCCGACCAACCCTAAAATTTTTCTGCAGGCGGCGTCTTGGGCACGCGCCGAAAAAACGCAAGTTTTTGGTCGAAGTTTTCCAAAAAATTTCCAAAAAAATTTTTTGGTCAAAGTTTTCCTTATTGGTCAAAAAAAGTTTTTTAGATTGTTCTGGGCAGGGGAGGTGTAAAAGAAAATATTGATATCGCAATTATTGCCAATAAATACAGTTAAATAATTTGTTTTTGAGATTCCTCAATGAATTTTATTTATTGTTGGAGACAATATCTTGCAGCAACGTATGATCGTAGATTTATACGAAAATTCTTACTTATGAGCTGACCTCGGTGATTACTATTGGATAATGAGCTGCACAACAGCAGTTCGCGAATAAAATAACATTCACATTGATCACTCGAGTTAGTAGCCTTATAGAAAATCCTTCCGATGCATTTCGAATCTTAGATGTTTTTGTTTTTCAATAAATCATATTGGGATTTAAATACAATCAATCAGATTTTGCGCAGAGAATAAAAGTTTTCTTTCAAATTTTTCACTGAGAAATAAATGCAATAATTGCAATTATTTTTTGTTAAGGATTCTTAATAAAATATATTTATTTTTGGCTAAAATATATTTAAAATATATTTTTACTCCCCTCTGGTACTGGGAGTGCTTGGAAAAAAGTCAACAACGTTTTCGAAATTTTTTTTCAAAATCCCCCCCCCCCCCTGATCCGCCCCTGAGCGAAAGAAAGCGGGAAATGAGAGATGATTCTGACCGTTGGTTCTTGCATTGTGCTGCCGCAGAGTACATCGAATTGTCCAATGGAGCAGTTGCACACCCCTATCACTGTTCCTCTGCACGATGCAGTCAGCAGAGAGAGCACTAAGCCGAACAGACACGAACAGCAGGGCACAAACATCCAATGCATCGTTGAACTGACTTTTCTGTAAGAATTTTTTTCTAAATTTTCAAACTGGAGTGAACAAAGGAATAATATGAAAAATATTTTTTCGGTTATACCAAAACCAACATGACGAGAAAAAAACGATTGTTTTTTTTCAGAAAGTTGCATTCATATGATGGATTTGGCTTTAAACATTATCTTTTATCTATTATTTCCTTTTTTTACTTTAACTTACAAAAATGTGTCAAAATAATTTAATAATTTTTAATTTTTTTAATTTTACCTTTTTGCGACATCAAATTGATGCATTCCAAGTTGATTTTGAGTTTTTTTTTTCAGTAGAATCTTTTCAATATTTCGGTAAACGACGTAGAGACAGGTCTGCTCTAGACACTGAAGTCAATAGGCAATTATGAGGCACAGTCAAACAAACAAAACCATCAAAGTGCAGGGGAGGATTTAGGGGGAGAGGACGATCTTCCCTCCCTCAGGGATTCGATCCGCTCCCCTCGAGAACATCCTAGATCCGTCCCTGCCAAAGTGCGTTCACTTTGTTTGTTTTACTCGTTAATAAGTAAGTTTAGTGTCTAGACCAGATCGGTATCTGTGTCACAATCCAATTTTGTAATAAAAATTGTTTTTTTTTTTCACATTTTTATTATTCAGATTTAGTGGAGGGAGGGTGTATAACCAAAAAGACGCAAAATTGTTTCCAACGACTCACTCCAACGAAATCAGTGAAATAAATGAAATTACTGATGGGGTATTTCTATTGATAATTAGAAGAGGCCAAAATCAACATTTTCCAAATCTAAGATTTTAAATAACTTCGTATTTAGATTCAGGTAAGTTTTCAAATCACACGCTTCCTTAGGTAAAGGTAATTTCAAAGTTGCTCTCCGGGGTTTCTAAAGAAGGGGCAATTTAAAACAGGACAATGTAACCAATTTACAATAGGGTCGGCCAGACTTCGAGCGACATTCAAGCTCGCTGTGCCAGTGAACTATACTGAAGTTTGAATTTCGAAATATTAAACGAAACAGCCCAATTTCACCTGAGCCAATAGCTGGGGATTAGGTTTCAATCTTGGCCAAATTAAAGCCCCCGATCAATAAAAGAGGGTGGTTGAATCTGGGTGGTTGAATCTGGCATTATAGCTCAAGAACAAACCAAACGCTCTAGCAATTTATTTGCAAAATAAAGCTGGAGCGAGGCACGAGATTTTGAAGCAGGCTCTAATCAATATTTATTGTTTTCGCCAAAATATTCAAGACTGGCACTTTGAAACTGGTCTTAACTTTCTCTGATTCTCGTGATCCTATTCAATAAAAATCGAAAATCAAATATAATTCTTCTATAAAACATAAGTCAAACGTAGAAGTTCAACATTAAAGTATTTAAGGGGCGGATCTTTTTTGAACTGACGGATGGTCATTTTTCTGGCAATGAAAAGACTTCATTTATTAAAAGCTGAAAAAAGATTTAAAATTTCTTAATGAAAAGGTCTTTTTAAAATCATTTTAATAATACAAAGCATACGTCACTGTCATTTTAACAGAATTAGTTAGTCACGAAAGTGCGACCGAGTTAAATTTAGAATTTGGGGAATTTGTTTGAACTTGGGTGTATATTCCATTAAAAAATCACCCCTCTAGCTAGACAAAGGACTGAAAAATAGGATAAGCGGTTATTTTAGTGAATTGGATTCTTTTTTGTCTCTGCTGCTCCGGGTCAGATGACGAGAAACTACTTTTGGGTCTATGGATCGACAGAATGATAAAGAACTGAACATTTTATCTAGATTTCAATTTTAAAAACCCTCTTACGTACTTTGGTCATTTAATTGACTGAAGGCCCTTATTTCGTACCCCTGCGTCCGCTCAAGTACGTGAACAATTTGGTATCTAATGCACCTTATTATTTTAAATGGAGGCGTCCAAAATCCCCAGTGCTCAGTACGCCTATCTAGATTTTATCAACGGGTCAATTAGGTCGAAACAAGAGACAGTTTTAATCAAGGCTGATTCTTTAGACAAAAAATAACGGAATTAGTCATTATAGTAAAAAAAATACTGACAGAACTAAAGAAAAATTTTCAAAAATGTAACGTGGATCCGAAATTTTTTTATTCAATTAAAATTAATGTGAAATATTAATTTCTATTTTCGATGACTTCAAAACTCGATTCAAACAAATCAAACCTTTTGTTATAAGACGTAAATACAAATCATATCATTCTTTGTCGGAAACAAGGATTGAAACAATAGATGGCGCTGATGATTAAGGCGCCGTCAGAGTTACAATTTGAGGCAAAAAGCGGTCGGTTTGAAGTCAAGAAATTTAGCAACATTGGCGCTCGTTTTGCAAAATTCTTGTCCAAACTTTTACTTCAAAAACGGGTAATTTCTTGCTGCATTTAGTTACTCAAAGATTATCTAAGAATAACGTGACCATTTGCTGACAAATTTATATCAGAGCCTTATTTTGTGTAGTCCATCAAAATTTAAGAAGAGAATAATATTTGGGCGAATAGCTTAGAAATTGTTTTTATTGAGAGGTACTTTATATAGTAAAAACGTCAATTATTAGAAATTTTTCACTTTTGTCTAACTTCAACCCAATTTGAAAAAAAAACGAGTTTATCCAATATTAACATTTTTCTCTACCCAGTACACCACAAGACAAAATCATTAACGTTTTTCTCTATCCAGTACACCACAAGACAAAATCAAACAAGATTTTTAAATAAGGGTGAAACGCTGAAGCTTGTGTCTGCCATGTAACGCTTAGTTCTTAGATGGTTTTGTCAAAGCATCAGTTTTCTCTTTCGCAAGAAATTTTTTAAAAAACGATTTTTTGAAATCATCCCCGACAAGCAATGCCAAAAAACAGTGATGGTGTCTGCGCCCCTCAATGCACTTATTGCTTTTTACGTTGCCTCCACTTTGTCATAGAGAGCTATTTCAATTCATATCAGTTCATCGTTTGTAAACTGACTAGATGTCAATGATGTCATTCCAACGGTGCTAATTAAAAACTGGCAGGTACTGGCCAACAACGTCGTCTGTCATCCTTGGTGTGGCCTCTATTTCGCACTCTTATGCTATAATTTGAAAGATTAAGTTGGCTCATCTATTTATCCGAAAATGGTTTTAACACGTATCGAAACGGATGTTTAAAATGGTGGAGCCAACAGGTCCAAGTGGGAGAAAAAATCTTTTTGGCAAAATCGGATTTGGCCAACAAAATGCAGCAATTCGCCTATGTTTTGGGAATTCTGGTTTAATCGCTTTCAATGGGGCGTGGTCGCCAACTACAGATTGAGCCCCAAAGACTTCTACTTCGCTGGGACGTGACTGCTAGGAGATGTGAACAGAATTATCCGAATGACGAGCGAACAGACGCTAAATTCTAATCTCTATCTGTGCCTGGGGGAGAAAAGCCAGGACGAACTTCACAAAATACGGCAGCATCTTGATCTGGGGGCAACAAGATATCTACGCTATGGAAGCGGACTTCAAGAAGGAACGGAATGAAACATATGAAATTTTTCAGCTACTGTCGAGAAAGAAACATATCGATGAGTCGCTTGAGCCATTCCATTCGGTGCTCAGCGGTCTGGCAGCAAGATGCAGTTTTGGCACATTGGATGAACGAATTTTAAAATATGTTTTCATCATCAACATGGTTAATCGCAAAGCCCAAATTGAATTAAGTCGGTCAACAAAAACCCCAGAAGAAGTGTACAGGATTGCTTTGTTTTACGAGCGGGGGGAAATGTACTTCATCGGTACCAATGGGGGTGGCCTACAAATTAGGACCGAAGCCGTCGGAATCATCCGAGGTGGTTATCGGAATAATCGCCCGCGCGGTAGAGGACAGCACCCCGCGCGCGGATTCCCCAGATGGTGAATGAATCCTATCAAAAGGAGAAGCTGTGATCAACCAGGATCCACACCGGACCATAGGAAAAGTGTCACATGCAACTACTGCCGGAAAACCAGAATTATGAACGTACGTTCAGAAGGAAACAAACTAGCAATCGGGGACGCGGAGCAGTAAACTTAATTCACGAAGAAGGAACGATCGACTATTCTGAAATACCGGAGGATCGGACGTCGCAAAACGGAAGTTCAGTTGGTTGGGTGAATAGATCGGAAGCACCGTCGCATTCTTGGGATTCGGATAGCTCAGGCAATTGTTTGGCGATGTCAGTACGGTCTAAGAGCTGCACCGAACTAAAGGTCGCGGGAGCTCAATAGCCCTTAGGAATCAACGGAAAGACTACACGCGTATGAATAGACAGTAGATCATCCATTTCAATTTTTACCTTCGGAGAGCTAAAGAATACCCTGGGCGCGCGAAATGTCAGGTTGAAGTATCTGATACCGGAAGATAACGAGTTCCGCGACTATGGAAATAACCCGCTGAAGCTGATGGAAACGATGAACGTACGCCTGAGTCAAATGGCTGGAAAACTACAAGGGTTCGAGTGATAGTGGAAGCAAATGACCATCAATCATTGGATCACACCTGATGGCCAATTTGGGATTCAAATTAGTTCAACAGAAGCCAGAGGGAGCAGTGATGTCGATAAAACAGGATGAAAACAGCGAGCAGAAGATAACACTGAGCTCGTGGCAGGAATATTTTAGTACGCAATTTTCAAACCTTTTTCGTAGGGTAGGGAAAATAGAAAATTATACATTACAGGCGGGTTTTTTTGAGAATTGAACATTTGCAAGAAAAGGTGGACACGAATGAAGCAAGGGTGCATCGAAAAATTGGAAGAGATAAACACTTTGTTTCGCATATTGTCACCACAGTTGAATGGATGGGTCGGTTAAACTAGCCGTTGAGTCAGTAGCATTGAAAAAACAAAGCATAAGAATATGTACCAGATGCCCAGATGCCGAACGTAGAAGAATTATTGGGTACCGTGGGACAAACAATCAGTGAGAAAAAACCGCAAATTTTTGTTTCGACAAGGGACTTAACGTACGCAAATGGACCGACTCTTTTAAGCGCAGGAATATGCGTTCAATGCAATTTTTCACTGACAGGAGAGAAATCGACCATTAAAATGGGACACTGACGCCCAACAACAATGCCCGCAGACATTCAAAGAACAATGGATAGCATCTTTCCGGAGTTTCCGCAGACACACCCGTTTATAGATGATATCCTAGTTGTCACGAAAAGTTCAGACATCGACCATGCTGTGAAAAAATGAGTACGTATGTACCACGGAATGATTAAAAAGTTAAAACAGCAAGTAGCCAATATAGTCGAGCTTAGGCATTTTGACGTACATAGAAACATTCGAATAGTCTGTGATGCAAATAATAACGGCCTGGGGCGGTATTGCAACAATTAGTCATCCAATCAAAATAACAAATCATCCAATCAAAATGCAGTATGCAAATTTTCGACCGTAGCGCATGCAAATTGACCAATCAGTGAAATGATATTTGCATAAGCCGACGGTCAAGTGAAACGGAAGAAAATTTAGTTGAGGCTATTATTCATTCAAATTCAAGTTGTTGAAAATCTTACAAGTCAAGTACGGGGACAATGGATAGATAGGGGACAATGGATGGAAAAAATTAGAACACTATTTAAAACGGCATCCCAGTTTACATAGTAGCGACAGCAAAATCGAAGAAACAACAACATCTGATCTGGAAGCAATTACAAAAGAATCAAGATAAAAAAAAACAATGTTTTTTCGTTACCTTCAAGAAAGTGTTCCTCCAGTTGATCCCAACAATTTAATAAAGTCCATGTTAGCACGGGGATAAAAAATTTTAGTAAACTCACTTCGCATCAAAGCTTTTCAATTTACAACTCTTAGAACTTAATTATAAATCGGACTATGAACTTACTGCCATTCGTGATATGATAAAAGAGAAAGACCCAAACATACATAGAAAACATACGCCAGGTTACTTTGCCCAATTTGAAAATGACTTATGCATCCGAGAGAACGTCGTTTGTATGGACAATAAGTTAGTGATTCCCAACAATTTAAACACTGCCATTAACAACCGCATTCATTTTTACCATCACGGAAAATTGTAGGTTTATCAAACTGCCAAGGAACATTGGTACCCTTATCATTATTGTTCAATCGAAAACATAGCAGAAAGATGCGCAGAGTGTACAGTGTCTGGTAAGAACTTAAAATCTTTAAAAAAGAAAAGTAACAAAGAAAAATTAATTAAACAAAAAAGCTAATGAGGCAGCTCAACTTTTTTTGCTGACTAATTAGTAACTTAAGCGGATCAAAACAGTATGTTTTCGTGGCGGTTGATCGCTTTTGACGTTGGCCGTCGACGATAGTGTGCGGAAATAACCGATCGAACAAAATATTAAATTTTTTAAGAACTTACATAGTAACCCATGGAGTAACCCGAAATATGTCCAATGATGTGAAGGTGTTTTGCAACAACGAAGCAGCTGAGATAATTAAACCGCCTGTCAATAACCATTGTGTAACCAGATGTGTAGAACGGACAATAGGTAGTTTGAAAAGCTCTATTATCAAGTACGCTGGAGAGAAAAATCAGCAACCAATGGAAAAAAGTTGAATGAGCTCTTGGAGCGCTCCGGTTTTCAATTAACGCTAAAATTAAACTGAAAACATTCAAAGCACACCACGGACGCGAGGCGAATAAGATCCTAAGAAATCTCTCCGAAAAATCATCAATACAACATCTAGGTTGGTCAAGAGTAATAAAAGACGAATCTGCATGT